TTGTTAATTTTTTGTTAATTGTTTAATTAGGAAAATAATTTTTTTATTTACTATTAAATTTAATAAATATATTTCCCAACTAACGTGTATTTTTATCAGTGGCATGGTGAACCCATGAGCCACACCATTTTTTTGGCGCCAATCCAATATTATAAATACCTTTTTTACAAAAATATAAATAAAAGAGGTAGTTTTTGCTGGGGCGGCTCAAGCACAGCCCTAGGCAAACCACTGATTTTTATATGCACATTTTGTACAATTACTCCTGACCTACTCTTAGTTACTCGTTATTTACTCCCTTTCCCGTAAAACTAATAATAATTGGCAACTTTTTATTTAAAAAAAAATATGGAAGTTATGTGTTTTGTTTATTAAATTTGGAAAAAAACACGTTTTAAAATGTTATTTTTTAGTTGATTGCTCGTCTACCTCTTACTTATAAATATCAATTTCAATATAGTGTCATATAATAAATTAACTCGTAAATTAACGTATAATAAATTAAAAAATATATTGTTTAATAATTGTAGGCAAACATATCTATAATGCCTAATCTGTGATACCTTTGAAATTTCCGTTGTTTTATTATGTTATGTTAAGTCCAGGACGGACGAATTGCTCTACAAATTCAGTTAAAAAATTGTAAATAGCTCGTTAACTAAGAAAGATACAAAGTTCATTTCGCTATAAAAAAAATTTAAAGATTCATAGTTCTATTTGATTTTAGGTATCCAACCAACCCCCCAACTTTTTTTAAAGGGGTCGCTTTAAATTTATTTTCTCCTTAGAATATTGGGCCTTCAAATCTACAGCACTGGCAAAAATTTCGAAGAAAAAATCGCCACAACAAACTTTTTACAAAAAAAAAGGTTTTTTAAGTTTTAGTTTAACACCCTGTAACTTTGTTGGGAGCCAGTTTTTGATATAGGTAAATATAGCCAAATCCACTTATTTTTTGGTAATCTATCTGGGGATGAATTTATGACATACCTTTTTGAAACACCCTGTATAATACATTCGTTTGCGTTACTCTTTCTTTAAACCTTTTTGACAACAACTACGATGCGGCATACTATTTTGGACTTGCAGTTGACCAATTTTTTTTTGTTTAAAAGTTACAGAAAACAGTAACAATAATTGTAGAATCGAACCGTTCCGGAACACATGCTAAAATTGCCTGCATAACTAATTCCTTTAATTTATTTTGTGAAAATAAAACGTGAATCTTGATTAACGCCATCACTAATTCAACTTTCACGGACCATTTTCCTTGCATCTCATTAAAAAGAGCAAAAAAATGATAATTGGCCATGCTTAAAAGTTTCGACTCTAAAAAAATTGTATACACTGAAAAAAATGTCATCTCACAAGGGCTGAAAGATTTGTTGTCTTGCATTACACACTAATCCGGATTTATAAAGCGTACATACTTTTTTTTACTTTCTGCGTATATTTGTTATCTATAAAATACGAATTGGTGTTTAGGTCATTATCTAGTTTCACCTCTTTTCGCTTATAAAAAGATATGTATCACTATTGTAAAAAAAAATAGTTTCATATCTTGTGCAAATTAATGTCATAATTATTTTTTTAAATAAAATTATTTCAGAAAATGTCAAATCAAATCAAAGATGCCACTCTTACACTGTTGCCAAGTCGCACACAAAGTTTACTATCTTATTATTTATTGTCAAATAGTACAGCAATTAATTTCTAATAATTTTTGTTGCCATAAAAGTAATTTGTAATATAACTATTGATGTTATTTTACCCACCTAGCACTCGTTATTTACTCCCTTTCCCGTAAAACTAATAATAATTGGCAATTTTTTATTAAAAAAAAATATGGAAGTTATGTTTTTTGTTTATTAAATTTGGAAAAAAAAAACACGTTTTAAAATGTTATTCGAGACTATTAGAATAATATTTTTTAGTTGATTGCTCGTCTACCTCTTACTTATAAATATCGATTTCAATATAGTGTCATATAATAAATTAACGTATAAAAAATTAAAAAATATATTGTTTAATAATTGTAGGCAAACATATCTATAATGCCAATTCTGTTTTTAATCTGTGATCCCTTTGAAATTTCCGTTGTTTTATTAGTCATCTTGAATGTTTTTCAACCAAATCTGGCAATTTCTCCTCCGCCCCATTTTAAACGATCGAGACTTCAGACAGTAGATTTGGTAAACATGAGGGGTGTTCTACGAATTTGAATTTTAACACCAAAAAGCAACTTGTCTACGAACTTTTTTTGCACACATTTTCGTTTTCTGTAATTAAATAATCAAATCTACTGAATTTATCCGTAGCTATACGGGGTGAGGTGTCACAGCTTTTAGATTATAGACAACTACACACTATATTTTGGTTCTAGCTTACTCGTTAACTTTGTTTTTTAAATTAAAAAATAATAAATAACTTTTGATTTTTTTACTTACTCCCCAATTTTGAAATTTGCTGATCACTGATGGCCTAGGCTAAGCGGTAAATTACCTAAACCAAAGAAATGATAATTTCTTTATGACTTGAACAATAGAAGACAGAAAGTATTAATAAACTATAATGAAGATATATAATACTTGGCATTCTATATTTTACTCTTCACAGTTTAACAGACCCCCTTAATCCCCATTTTCAATCAGATTAATGTCTGAAACTGCCTTGGAATACTAAATGACCTGGCAACCCACAATAAGATAAAACTATGTGGATTTTTAATTAAATTGCATGGTTTGGTTTAGGATTTGATGTGTGCCGTATTAATGGAAAATTCAATTTCTGTTGATATGACATGCAGATTATAAAATCGCCATACATTATCGTCTCGATGATGATGGGTGAGGTTTTCCGGGTTTTCCTCACCTGTAAGTCAAATGGCACCATCAATCATCCTTAAGTCGCCCCGGAGCGCCACGGCAAATAATAATAATAACCGACCCTTCCCCTACACAAGTCGTTTAGTCGACTTCAGGAATTGAAATTCACTCATAAGGGGGTGAATTAGGGAGAGTATTATTATATTATTATTAATAAAAAGGCTGATGAACTCTCCAAATAAGAATCGTAACTACCATTCACAGGACTCGAACCTGTATTTGGGATAGGCAGAACCTCTGCTCGACACACAGTGAACAGGTGGATCTGTATCTGTAACGTGTGGAGGGTGGATTACCCCACGGCACTTAGGCCTCATTAGGCCCATTGTGCATCCTCCTAAGATGATAAGCACCTCCTAGCTCGAGCCAGCCTACAGATTTAATGTAGTTGACAACGTCGCCAAGAAGTGCTTCTCTTATATTGGCCGGTGTTAGCTGATACTCGCCAAGCACAAATCTTCTAATAAATGAGAGTTTCGGGCAACCGTAGAGGATATTCTCGATGGTCTAATCTTCTGACAACCCCTTTGATATGGAGATGCTTCCGTACTTGGCAATGACCAGTCAGAATGACCAAGCGCAGATTAGGTCTTTAATTAGGTCTGTCACTACCGATTTTATTAGGCCAATAGAAGGGCCAGGTCCAAAAAGTATTTGGCTAGCTGCTTTCTTGGCCAGTGAATCAGCAAGATGGTTACCTTTCGATGTGGCGTGTCCTTTGATCCATCTTAAGGTGACCACATTGTTGATGGATAATTCGGCCAAAGCTTCGTGACATTCTAGTACTAACCCTGAGTAAATTCGTGGTCTGTTCAGGGTGAGTAGTGCTTGTCTGCTATCTGTATAGATGAGCATGTTCCTTACAGTGGTATTGTTTCTTGTGATTTCTATGAGAATCCCCGTCAGCTTTCTTTGAACAGGTGGATAACCACAAAACACCAAATTCACTGACAACACATAAGAGGACACAGAATCAGTAAGCTCATGCTAAGTGCACCAAACCCACGCATGTCTACTGAGACACTACAACTCGCAAGGCCTCAGATATCCTCCATTGTGGGATTACTAACGGGGCACTGCTTGCTGAAACACCTTCATGTTATGGGATTACGCAATGATCCCATTACGTGTAGACGTGTATGGAAGAGGAAAAAACCTCATACCATCTGATATTCGAAGACGACGTTTCATCCTTTTCGGCCTAGAAGCGGGAAGAACGCTTCAGGAGGAACACATGGTAGAGAACTTATTAAAACAAAATAACTATTCCAAAGATAGTACCTGAATACGGGGAAAGCAAGGGAATACAATAGACCCAAGAGACCACAGTGTTCTGGGCCAAACCTAACCCTACCTGTTTATAATCGACAAAGATAAAGATAAAAATAGTCAATAGGCTGCATTCTATCATCATTTTAAGTTAATATCGTTTTTTGTTTCTGAGTTAGGAATTTTTTTATATATGTTGACCCACTTTTATTAAGTTTTTTTTTTCAGAATTAATAGCCTTCATCATCTTATAGATCTCGATTTTTACTAAAAATTTCACTTGTTTTATTTTTTTTTTAATTACAACCCTCGCTAACGCCCATTTTTATTCAGATTTTTTCAAAATCAATATGCTTATCGTCTCCTTATAGAGCTCGAATTTTGCTAAAAATTTCAAGTTGATATAAATTTCTTTTTTAAGTTAGAACTTTTTTAATATTTCCACTTCTCTTAATTCTCCATTTTTTTTCAATGTTTTTCAGGATCAATAGGTTTTATGCCCTTATAGAGCTTTATTTGATCCTGAAAAGTTGTTTAAAATTTGATGAGAAGGAACGTTTTTAAACGTTTTTAAATTTGGATCAATATTAAAAATTTTGAAACATACAATACTAAAACAGAATCATCATCAGCAATAACTAATAAAGGAGGTACCTCAGGACTGCCTCCTTGGTCTCATCTTGTTTGTTATTTATTTAAATCATCATGGTTTTGCTATTCACAATGAGACTAATGAGAGAAATTATAGCATATTCACTCAAAGTAGTAGTGAACGAATATAATTGTTATGTTTGCATTTTTTTATTAACAGTTATTTTTTTTTGTTTTCAGGGTGACCAGCGTGCCATGGCCTGGCATGGGAAATTTCGGCCCGGCTTGCTCTTACTTCTGTTTTCGTTCGTTGTTATATCGGAGGCAACGGCAAAAGCACTTGGTGAGTAATATTTTTAAATAGAAAATATTTCTAAACTTCAAGATACTACTTGGGTGATTTAGAACAGATTTTAATAAGTATCAGCATACTGTTTTAAAATAAAATAATTTACTTGTAGTTATAAGTTAGATGGGAGTTACCATTTGATCCCAAATAAATAGTTATATATTCTTCCTATATCGGTCCCATTACAAAAACAACTATTATTTAGCGCAACCCAAATGTGAATGCTCTTTGGTTGTCATGGGATTTTTTATTGAAATTCATTCTAAAAAATTATGCTGTAATAAAAATCAATTATTCTAAATATTTACAAAAACACTGATTTCTTACTTGTTGAAAGGTAAAATTGTCAGGAAAAACTTATCTTACTGATTTGTCTGCTCATTCCAGGACTGTTAACGCATATCCACGCCCTAACATTGACGGAAAAGCGCCCACTATGAGTACTACCCAAAGTACAATTCTCTTTGAATCTTGAGTTTCTGGCAAATCTTGTGGAAATGGGTATATTTTTCTTTTTCAATTGTTATTGAGTTTGCAAATCATTGCTTGGACCCCTTTTTCTTTTGCAAAACATTAACCTTCATTTGTTCCGTTACATAAGTAATCATTTTATCCGTTTATAAAAAGTTGAAGAATTGGATGATTCCATGAAGATCCTTTATACAAGTGGGTAGAGAGTCTGAGCTTTTAACATTTTGTTCTTGCCTTTAGATTTGTTTAGATATTTTTTGAATATCGATAAGATTTGTATTCTTCCTGGTTCTGATCTGCAGTTTTGTTATATTGACCCCTAGCAGACTGAAGACGAAATAAACGTCGTCATCAGTATCGTCAATAACATCTACTGTCTACGAAAAGTCAATGTCACTGTCAGATTCAGCGCACAAACTTCTAATCTGATTCTTACGTAATTTTCATTGCCATTAGATAAATTTTCGTAATCGCTTTGGTCAATAACAAGAATTATAACTCTCTTGATCTTGATAATATAAAAACTTTTGTATGAACCCTATATATTTTTTAACACCTATTTCGATCTGCAACAAATATTTTTTTGTAGTAAACTTTATGTTGTATCTATTTATATGTAAGAACTTGTAAAATAAATTCTTATTCACTTATTTTAGTTTCATCAAATTTCAACAAACGGTACACAAAACTTTAGCAGAACTTTCAATATTTCAAGCCAACGCACGTTTTCGATCAGACATAACTAAACTAAATCGTGTACGTTGCAATAAGCGAGTATGCCATATTGAGGACAATTTGAGTAAGGTTCCAAGTAACGTCAATACTCAGAAATTAAATAAAATTGCAAGTGTCATATTTGGCACAGTATGCAGTAAGGAGTTAAAAAGGCCGTGCGTCTTAACAAAATACTTTGATTACGGATATTTTCCAAGAATAATGCTTTACTGATATCAAATATGTTTAGTATAACCTAAGACGTCCATTATTATTAATTACAGAGTGGGTGTAAAATTTCAGTATGATTTGAAATTAATTATTTGAAAAATAATCAGTTTTCAGTATTTTTTTACTCATCCTGTAACTAATAATAATTTACGTCGTAGGTTATAGTGGTTGATATCAGTAAAACATTATTCTTGGAAAATATCTGTAATGAACGGTATACAGACGGTTCAAAAACCAAAGAATGAGCCGGTGCTGAAATTATGAACCCAAGTCCAGAAGAATATGCAAAACTGTTCCAGGCTGAACTAACTGTGCTGAACAACACTGTGCAAGATAAATAATAAATTGGCAAGATTCAGGCAATACTATTGCCATCTACTTTAAAGGCAATTATCTCACTAGAAATCCAATCAAGACTGCCTAGATGACCTGACAGAGCTAAGTAGTCAAAACAAGGTGATCCTAGCCTGGGTGCCAAGACGAGGGAAATCGGCAACGAAAAGAACGACGAATTAGCCCGAGAAGGCTCAGATAACGTCATGACAGGCCTCGAACCTTTCTGTGGAGTTTCTAAGGCATTGTGCAAAGCATCCATCAGACAATGGATGAAAAAAGAGTCTCAGGAATGGTTAAACAACTATCCAAGACTGAGACAGGCCAAACAGTTCATCAAGAAACCATCGGCCAAGTTCACGAAATACCTACTGGGTCAAAAACGTCAAATCGTTAGGATAACAGTAAATCTTCTTACCGAACACTGTTGCCTAAGAAGGCACATGAGTGTTATTAATCCAGCAGAGGAAACAACATTGTGCAGATTTTGTGAAGAAGAAGAGCAAACATCAATCCACGTCCTGTGCCAGTGTGAAGGCCTGGCTAGATTGAGGCTTCTAACATTAAATGAAGAAAAAAACCATGTCATGCGCATGCGCGGGCCAGTGTCAAAGATAAGTCTAACAAAAAAGATGACATACTCTAAGAAAAAGGTTTCGGTGGAAAAGGACAATGTCCAACTTGTTTCTAATCTAATCTACAACATTGGATTCCTCAAATAAAGATTAACAGTTACTAATTTCACAACAATCACACAGTATTTATCAGAGGATTTAGAATATTTAGATAAACAAGTAGACGTGATTTATACAGACTTCTCAAATGTCCTCAAAGGCATTCGATAAAATAGATAATTTTTTCCTTTGGTATTTTTACGCACATCACCGTTTTTAAGAATAGTTCAAGCCATTCAAACTTAGGAATTAATTCATCCACGTCATATATTGCGCAGAACTTTAACAATGTATACAAATCATGTGACATCAACATTAAAGAGATATTGCAAGTTCCCTTAAGGTCAGCCACTATTAGCGCCGCTCCTATTTTGACATCTGATTCATGCGCAGATCGTTTATGTTCTAGAACTAATTTGATTAATAGTGGATTTTTAACGGCAGCAAATAGTGGCGACTATTAGCTTTCGGGTGCGCACGCCAAGATTCGTATCAGTTCGAAGTTTTCTAATATTAATCATCATAATCTAAATCTCCTAAAAATGGTCATTTCTAATGCCTCTTCCATATTATGTGCTATACAACAAGAAAGGTTAACTATGATTTAATGTTTTTAAAATGAAGTTAGGGTTCCTAACTTAGGACAGCGATAATAATATAGAAATACCATATAAATAAAATTTTCTTGGTTTATTCGTTCATATTGTTTTTATTTTCTATAATTTAAGCACAAGCACTACATATGTTTCGGAAAAATTTTCCTTCTTCTGTTGCAGTCAAAATTTAATAAAACATAGGGGACGATTACAAACAGTTTAAACATTTTAAAATAACAGAAACTCCATCGTTCTGTTTCACAGCGGGTCCAAATTATCGTTATTCAAATAAAATTATCAGGTTTGCAATTAGTTTTATTTTAGCGTTGTCACTATAGTGACTGACGTTACAGAATTTTGCAATATCTCTCGATGACTCCTTATCTTTCATTTTAGATAAAACTGCGAAACTGTTTTATAGCATAAAATAATATTATGTATTATTTTCTTCTTTTTTTGGCTTGTTTCCCCTTCATAGTTTAAATGTCAATGATAAATTTATTTTTCTCCATTTTTTTTCTATATACGTACATATTTATATGATTTTTTAAAATTTTTTTTTTTAAATTTATGTTCTGTTCTTTCTTGAAAATATTAAATGTGTATTTTTATTTAGTTATATATTTTTCTTTTGTAACTTAACCTGTAAATGGTATATATGTGTACTGTTGGGCAATAATGCTTTTTTTATTATTATTTACGAATAGTAAATTATTTTAAAATTAATTTATTAAATCGTTTTGTTATGAAAGCGTAATCTCTTATTCACAGCAAATTCCTAGAAGTAAAAAAAACTACATTTTAATTAGTTTTAAAATAAATACGCGAAAGCAAAAGGCTAGAGATAAGAAACCATTCAAGAATTTTAAAAACAAGGGGGAAAGAAACGGCAAGATCGGCGAAAGATTAAGACCATATTTCTAAACGTTATCTATATGTTCAGTTTTGTCAACTGCCGTTTTCAACTACTTCCAGACCAGAAATCATTATCCGTTTCCCTAACATGTGCAATCTGAGGAAGCAAATACCGAGTTTTGAGAAAAGACACATGGCTCCCATCTACTTAATACCCTATAAATAAACGGAATGAAATATAAACAGGAGAAAACCATTTATTTTGACATCTACTCTCCTTGTCTGGTACTTATTCACTATAAAGATAAATTCCAAGTGTTTTGATAATAGAGGTTAGCTATTTTACCGCTACAAAACAACCTTAGAGATTTAACTTTAATTTGTTTTATATCTTTTGAAACTCTTCTTAAAGTCACATTAAATCGGCTGGCATAGCAACCATATCCAATTATTTTACATTTAATTTTTAATTGTTTATTTACAAACTCGAATCCTTGTATAGGCTTTTTATTATACATTTCAAAAATGAATTGTTTCAAGCCTTTAAAATAATATATAAATTTGATACAAACTTCTTATTAGAATTGTATATTATAGAAGTGACGAGTTAAAACGCATTTTGAAATTGTATAAATACCTTCTCATCTACTTTATATTTTGTTAGTCAAAACTTACACGAATTTTACATTAAGCTAAATCATAATTTGTTTAATGTAGCCGAGATTTTTCCAATGTGCTAAATGCCAAATGAAATGGGTTTTTCGACTTTTGCCCTAATATTTTTTATCGTTTTTTGTAGGGTTTTAGCGGATATTCAAAATGTTTATGATACCTTTTCCAATATTCCTAAAAATAACTTTTTATTTTGCTATAAAATTGCCGTTGAAAAAAATGTGATTAAATAACTTTAACCACGCACTCTTTCAAGAAGTTATACGACATGCCATTAGTAAAATCGCCATTTTACATGTTTCCGACAAATGAGCAAAAAAAACTAATTTTAGACATATTACAAGCCGTACAATAAAACGTATTATAGGGAATATAAATCACCGGTGGTTTTTTCGTTACGGGGTGCGTACTTTTAACGAGGAATAACAATTTAAAGGAAATACGACTA